CCCCTTTGGTACTCCCTGGGCTCCGCTCCTGGGGGTGGACTGCCCTAAAGACAGAGGCTGTGCCTCCCCATTCTAAGCCCTTCTCTCCATGCTCACTCTCTCTGAGGTGGTCATGCCATCGATGCCTGGCCCCTCCTCTTGTGTGAAGAACTGTGATGCCACGCTCCGCCTGGTGACACTGTCGCCACTGCTGCCTGCCATGGCTGCTGTCCGGTACTTCCTGGAGAAAAAGAGGATCGATCAAGCTCTGGGACCCTGTGGATAGGTTGGACCTTCACCTGACTGTCCACAAAGGGAGCAACCCTCCTTTCCATTCTGTCCTGTGCCTGTTGGGTCTTCTGAACGCCCTCTCCCATCAAGGCTATCTCAGACTGTGTGTGTACATAGGGGTTATGATTTGGGAGAGACAGATGTCTCCCAGGTTGGAGGCACTCCCTTGTGGAGTACCAGGCCTCACCTCCAGGACTTTGCCTAAAGCAGGCTGACCACAAACATCTGCTGAATGACTGAACAAATGAACACACAGCAACCTCCTTGCTGGTTTCAGGGCCTCATCGTGCCGTCGGGGCTGTACTTGGGACCAGACATGACAGCAAGCTTTCTGCAAGGGAGCTCTGAGGAATACCAGTCACAGAGTCCTACAGGGTGAGTATTCAACACATCTGAAAAGGCCTAGTTAAAATAAATTAGGTTTCAGTCATTTTCTGGAGTATTATGGAGTTGTTTTTTTTTTTTTTAAAGGGGAGGGGGGGAAGGGGAACTTTTGGGCATCTGTCCCAGAGTCACACTTGTCAGAACTATTTAATAAGGATCAATTACAGCAAAAGACTATTAGCAACCCAAGTGTTCTCAAACAGGGAGACTGGCTGAAAAAAACCAAGATAAATCCACATAACAAAATACTATGCAACTATAAAAAGAAACGAGGGATGGGGGTGCCTGGGAGGCTCAGTCAGTTAAGCATCTGCCTTCAGCTCAGGTTGTGATCCCAGGAGAGTCCCACGTCTGATTCCCTAATCAGTGGGAGCTTGCTTCTCTCTCTCCTCCCCGCTCATGCTCTCTCTCGCTATCTCTGTTTCTCTCTCTCTCTCAAATAAATAAAATCTTTTTTTTTTAAGATTTTATTTATTTATTTGACAGACAGAGATCACAAGTAGGCAGAGAGGCAGGCAGAGAGAGAGGAAGGGAAGCAGGCTCCCTGCTGAGCAGAGAGCCCAATGCGGGGCTTGATCCCAGGATCCTGGGATCATGACCCGAGCCGAAGGCAGAGGCTTAACCCACTGAGCCACCCAGGCGCCCCTCAAATAAATAAAATCTTTAAAAAAAATGAGGGATGAAAAAAAGGAAAATCTCTATACATTGATTAACAGTAGATTCCAACATATATTAACTGAAAACATGCAAAGTGGGAGACAATGTTTGCTGCATCCTCCCTTTTTAAAAAAGAGAAATACATATAGATATAGACACACGTGTATAAGTATATCTATATCTACATACATATTAAAAAATGAAAAGATAAATCAAAAACCAGAAGAAGAGGGAAAACAGTAAAATAAATCTGGTGTGTCTCAATGTATTATCATAAAAAGCTATCTATGACAACCTATGGCATCACAGAATACATTAACTCGATCTATTTTTGTCAAGTTTGTGTATGTAGACACACTATGAACTGGGTCTATTTCCTTTTCTATAAAAAAGGGACGGGCGCCCTCCCTCTGGCCCTCCCTCCTCTCATGCTCTCTCTCTCTCTCAAATAAATAAATAAAATCTCAAAACAAAACCAAAAAACAGGGACGGCAACAGTGTTTACCTCCCAGGACTTTTCTGAGTAGATGAGTTAGTATGCAAAATAAACACAAGATAAGTACAGCTACTATTTTTATGTGCCCCTGAAAAGATCTGAAGGATGTTGCATAAACCATTAACAATTTGAGGAGGCTGAAAAAGATGAACCTTTTAAAAGGAACGTAAGGGGCGCCTGTGTGGCTCAGTAGGTTAAAGCCTCTGCCTTCGGCTCAGGTCATGAACCCAGGGTCCTGGGATCGAGCCCCACATCAGGCTCTCTGCTCAGCATGGAGCCTGCTTCCTCCTCTCTCTCTGCCTGCCTCTCTGCCTACTTGTGATCTCTGTCAAAAAATAAATAAAATAAAGGGGCCACTCATACAAGGTCTCCTAGGCCTTGGTGAGGATGAAGGCTTTGATGGCCCCTTCTACCTCTGCCCTCACTTTCCTCTCGGGTCTCTGCGTTCAAGCTTTTCCCTCACTACCCTATTTCTTTCTTTCTTTTTTCCACTACCCTATTTCAAACGTCAATTCCTTCTCCCTCTCCATCTGTGTTACTCTATTTTTCTGCACAGCATTTATTACCATCAGCATACTACAAATTTATAAGCTCTGTGAAGGCCAGGATTTGCGTGTGTCTGTTCACTTTCTAGATTTCCAGCATGGAACAGCGCCTGGCACTGAGTAAGTGCTCAGTAAATATCTGAATGAATGCCAAAGGGCTTCCCCAATCTGGATTTAGTATCCCCACGCTTTGGCTCTAAAACGCTTGAAAAATTATAGCTAATATTTATGTGCTAGGCACAATTCTAACACACATGTTAACTTATTTAAAGCTCCCAACACCAACTCTTTGAGGCAGTTACTATTTTTAATCTCCATTTTACAAATGAGGAAATTTGAAGGTAAGGGAGGTAAAGTCACTTGACCGAAGGCTCACAGCTTCTAAGACACAGACCCAGCAGTATGACTGCAGAGTCTATCCTCCTCACCACTAGGCAGTCCTGCCTCTCTGAAAGGCACTCCTTCTCCAGGACAGGTCTATTCAAGCAAGCCAAGGGGCACAGTCACCTGACAACCAGCACACTGCAGTCCCTTATCAGAACATAATGAACCTTTTCATGATGAACTTTTCCAACCTTTCTACTCTTTCCATGACAATAACAGATTGAAATCTACCTTTTTTATTTTTTTAACCCTATGTTCTTCCTCTTCTACTTTCTGGTTTATCCTTCAAAAAAAAAGTATGCACATTTCCTTTCTTTTGTAAAAAGGGAAGCATATGATTAGTAAAAAGGGAGCACATAATTAGCACCGCCTTCTCTTGTGTTTGTTTTCACTTAATATTTTCTGGAGCCCACTCTCCTAGAGACATTTTCTTCATTCCCTCCCCCCAACCCCCCTTTAATAGTTGCATAGTATTTTATTATGTAGGTATTATCAGCTTTTTTTTCTGCCAGCCTCCCTATTGAAGAACATCCGGGGGTGCTTGCAGTCTTTTTGCTATTACCAACCATCACTGTTTCCCCTTCCCTCCTGGTGTATTCCTTATGGAGTCGCACTGCCCCACTCCCACCTGGAAGTATGACGACTCCCCTCATATAGGAAGTAACCCCAGGAGTATCTTTCACTCATGCAACGAACATTAACCGGGCATCTTCAGTGCGACCAGCGCTGTGCTGGGAACACATACTCTAAGTCCCTGTCTCCGTGGACCTCACGGCCAAGGATCTAATCGAAAAACCCCACAAATAAAGGTCCAATGATAAATCAGACCACATGTGACATGAAGGAAAGGAACAGGGACCTATGAGAGGGTTTAACAGGCGGATTTCGGGACGGAAGGCGGGAAAGCAGGCCTTCGCAGAGGAAGTGACGTTGATGCACAGACCCGAAAGATGAATGGGAGTTAGCCAGGCAGAATGGGTAAAAGGATGTTGCGGGCAAAGGGGACAGCATGTGCAAAAATCCTGAGGCGGGAAGGCGCATGGCGAGTTTGAGGAACCGGAAGGCCAGTGCAGCTGTGCGAAGTGGGGGACCAGCAGAGAGGCCGAGCCGGGGCCGGAGGGGCGGACGCGCCTTAGGGGCCACGTTGGAACTTTGCCCTGAGGGCACTGGAGAGCCACGGGTGGGTCCTGAGCTGGGGAAGAAACTGGGGTCCCGAACGTCACTGCTCCTCTTTCCTCGCAGCGCCCCAACCCGCCGGCCAGCGCCCCTGCCGCCTCAGGGTCCCTCCTCCCTTCGTTCCCGGGCCCCCACTCCACCCCCCGCTCACCGCGGCGCCGGCCTCCGTCCCCCTCGCGCCCCCTCAGCAGCGCCTCCTCACAGACGCCGCCGTCGCCATCTTCCGTTCGCCGCCGGGACACTGCGCACGCGCCGCGCACACAGGGCCGCCGGGAAATGGAGTCCACACTGCGGGCCGACCCCGCCCCTACCTCCTGCAACGCGAGAGGTCTTCCACCCTCCCCCAGACGACGCCGGGGCGTCCTTCATTTCCGGCTTTTGATTGCCATGCCTTAAGGGAAATGTAGTCCCTTAGCGGAGGCATTGGACGGAAAGGGAGGTAGAGGCTTCTGGGAAATGGAGTTCTTGGTAGTTCTGAGTCCTGGACGGCTGGTGTTAGAGCGGGCGGAGAGTCCGGGCGGCAAAGCTCCGAGGACATGGAGGTGGTCTGTTGCCCCAGTGGAGTCTAAGCAGAGTCCTCGATCCCGTCCACCTTAGGTCCTGACCGTTTACGCAGTCTGGAGCCTTTCCAGCTGTCGGAAGCTTCAGTCTTCCAGTCCGTCCAATGGGAACGTGGGTTCGAGGGTCTCTTACAGCCCTTATGGTAGCATATACTGACCTCCGGAGTCCACAGCGCTCTGAGGCCCTTCTCCTCCGCCGCGGTCATGCTGGGCTCTGGCCATTCGCCCTCCCCCGTCGAGAAGATGAAGCCCGCTGGGGTAGAAGAGCCCCAGAGTTCTGCCGTCGGGGCCTTTAGCCTCGGCAGTGTTGCGCACCCGTCGCTCCCTCTCTCCAGCCACCTCCAGCTGTCGTGGCCCCGGGCTGCGGCTCCCGGCGCCTGAGGTCTATCTCCGCTTAATCCCGCAGGGGGCGCCCCAGTCCGAGCGCGCCGCCCTCGGGGAGGCGGGAGGGGAGCCCGGGACGTGCGAGGGCGGGGGGTGGGGGTGTCCCAGCTATAAAGCGTGGCCGCCTCCCGCGGCGCCCAGGACGGCTGGGACCCCGGGCGGTCGGACGGGCGGGTACCGGTCGCAACTCGGGCCGTGGCGGCTGAGAGATCTGAAGCGCTCGGTTCCCCCCGGGCCGGAACGGGGGCGGGAGGGGGCTCAGGCCCGGGGGATGCTGGGCTCGGTGAAGATGGAGGCCCATGACCTGGCCGAGTGGAGCTACTACCCGGAGGCGGGCGAGGTGTGTCCTCGGGGATGGCGGAGCGGGAAGTGGGTGCGAGCGTGAATGGGGTCAAGGATGGGGTGTGGGATCCAATGGGGGCCCCAACTACAGTTGAGGAGCGGAGGAACTACAGACATGCAGACCAGGTGTAGGAGTCCGGGATGGGGGACGAGGCGTGGGAGTGCGGTTTAGGCTGCTTGGAGCGAACGCTCAAACGGAAAAATTTAGGCAAGGGGCAGCTCATCGTTTAAACGTGAAGACTGGGTGTTGGGGACCCCAAATCCAAGGGATTAAAATGAAAAAACGAAACAAAAACAAAGATAGAAATCCGACTTCCAGGATAGGGGACAGAGCTGGGGGATTAGGAGGTGGGGTTCCAAAGCGGGTGTTGGGGGGGGCGGGAGGCCGGAGCTGAGAGATGGGAGAAAAGGTTCACCATTAAGGAAAGTCTGAGGTGGGAGCTCAGGGGTGGAATATAGTTAAAGATGGGGCTTCTGGGGTAGAAATCAGTGTTGGGGTTGTGCTGTAAGCATCTGCCTGGTGATGATCTTAGAGTCAGAAATAGGGATTGGCGCTCAAAGTTAAGAGATGGAGGTGCTCAGAGATGAAACATGGTTTGGGAGCCTGGAATAACAGGTGGGTGAGAGTTGGGGCTCAGAGAGATGTGGGCCCAGATGGGGTCAGAGTTGGGAACCTGAGAGCAGATGTGAGCAAGGGCATTGTCAGGAGAAGGGTCAGTCTCCGCCCCCCATCTCTATTCATGACCCTTACCCCTCCTGACTGAACTTCAGTGGTTTAATTGTTTTTAGAGACCCTCAGCAGGGATACTCGGAGGCTGGAGGGTTTCAGATTTCACACCCCTGCCTTCCAGTAATCTCCAGTAATTGCTAATATCCTCACTTGTCCCATCTCTGACAAGGCTGCCCTTGGAGTAGGGGGCAGGGTGTATCTTAATTCCCTTACCTCCGCAGAGGGAAAGTCCTTCCCCAAGTCTAACTCCCATTCCCACTACTGCAAGTGCTCCTCTTTAGCTTGTTCTTTCTATAGTCAAGATTGTGAAATGGCAGAGGGAGGGGTCCCAGTAGGAGGGTTATGGGGGTCCGGACATTTGGGTTCTTAACCTGGAAGGAAACTTTGGGTTTCAGGCCGCAGAGGGACTGGAATGTGTGAGATCTCCAAGGATTCTGAGATCTGGGGGTTTACAAGGCGCCCCACCATGCCTGAATTCTGGGTCTGGGGTTTGAAGCTTGGGCTGGGACTCCTGGTTCTCCAGGACTGCAGGGCTTGGCAGAGTGCCCAGGAGGGGCCAGTCTTGGGGCTGTGGAGGTGTGAGGTGCACGTGGGATGGGGCAGGCTGACCAGGGAAGGGACTGGGAGTGCTGAGAGTTGGAGGTGTCACTTGTGCAGTAGGGAAGGCAAAGAACCGGTGGGAAGTGGAGGTGCTCGCAGGTAGTGGCGGGTGGCGAGGGGGTGGGGGTGGGGGGCTGCCCCAGCAGAGAGAGTTCAGAGTCTAGGGACACGATTGAAGAAGGCCCAACTACAGATTTATGTTTGGGTGGAGGGGCACATCTTTAAGAAGAAAGTTGTATTGGTCTAGAATGGAGGAGTTGCTATGAGGGCACAGTCTGAAGTTTAAGAACTTGCGGGGAAACTGTCAGAAATTGAGGGACAGTCTAGAGATGATTAGCATTTGGGGGCATATTTTGGAAGAGTTAACATATAGGGGGCCGGAAATGGAAATACTGTGTCCCCAGCCTTCCCATGCACTGAGCCACCTCCTTCCCCCAGGTCAGAACAATAGGGAAAGAAACATCTGCACTCATTCAGCAACTAAGAACTAAGAGGGTCCCCAAACTGCTTCTTGCTCACAGCACCCTCCTGCTGGGGTGATTGACACCCCTGGTCAGGCTCCCTGTCAGGAAGGAAATTGGAAAGTTAGCACCCTGGGGTGTTCCCACTGACCTCCAGTTTTCACAGATCAGCTGGTCCAAGTTCTCCCCCACATTTAGAGATGGGAAATCAGAAGCCACTCCAAGTGTGTATGCGTGGGGAAGGGGGAGCTGCTGGAGGATCTGGACTGGGACTGGGACTAGAAACTAGGCTTCTGGCTTCACGTGGCCTTCCTGTGCTCCCTGTCACACCCTCCCCCCCCCCAGACAATAAGGAAATGAAGAGAGAGAAATTCCAGCCTCTTGGGATGGGGGTGCCGGTCCCCTGAGGGCTTCCCCCCAATCTCAGCCCCGCCCTGGCAGGGGAGATCCGGCTCACACCCGGACACTGGGGGTTCATCCCAGCCCTGGGGCGTGGGAAAGCCAAGGGTGGATTAGGGCAGCTGGAGTGCTTGAGGTCAGACCTCAAGGAGGACTTCCGGGTGGGTGGGGACTCAGAAAAGGAGAGTCCTGGGGTCCCAATCAATCTTCCTCTGCGATCCAGAGGAGCCTCATGGAGTTGGAGAATTGGAGTGGGGGTCGCAGAGGGATTTAGGAGCTCTCTGAGTCTATTGCCTTCCTTCAGCTCTGAAGGACGCACTTCCCTTATCCTGGGGAGGGGGTAGAATCAGCCAAGGTGGTGGTGGGGACACCAATGCATGGAGAAGGGGTACCTGTGACTCCAGTTTCAATGGGAGGCTTCTGGGAGGATGATGCTGAAGCAATGAGATAGAGGGACAGATATGTGCTGAGGGGAAAGAGACGTGGCCCAGGAGTGGGGCAGAGAGAGATAGGGTTGGGGGAGAGAGAAGGTGTTGGGGAGAGTCACACGGAGGGAAAGACTGGGGAGGGGGATTGGGGAAAGAGGAGAGAGAGACAGGAGAAGGAGGGGAAGACAAAGAGGCAAGAAAGAGACAGGGAGAGACAGGGATGGCGGAGAGGAAGCTTGGATGGAGACTGGGAGTGGAGAGGAGGAGCTGGGAGGTACTGAAACAGGGAAGGAGGTGGACAGTTAGGTACACGTGGAAACAGATGGGAGATTCAGAGACCGGAGATGAAAGAAAAATGCGTGAGAGAGAAGAATTTCTCTGCCTGCACTCAGATGAGAGTTGGTTGCTACCTGTCCCTGAGTCTCTGAGTGATCCCGGCCATTCCCTTCTCTCTCACGACCTTGGGACCTGCAGATCCTTACAGTGACAGGGAACAAGACAGAACCCACTGACCCACAGCAAAGGTGGCTCCTGCTGGAAAGATAGCTGTACCCCCTGCGTGGGGAGGGAGCAGGGCACACTGAGGGGGAGGGGAGGGGAGGGGGGAGCCATTGTCGGACTGAGGGAGAGGGGATGGTGGACAGTGGCCTGAACCGGTAAACACCACAGCGAGGGAGAAATCACCACCCGTCATGCTTTCCGCATTTTCTCTCGTTCATTTCCTGCTAGACTGTCAGATCTGTGAGGATCGCTGTTTCTGTCTTGCTTTTGTTTTGTGATCCAGAGCCCTGGTCTGGAGCCAGACTGCTTACATCAGAATCCCAGTTCTGCCCCTTTCTTACTGTGTGACCCTGGACAACCTCTCTGGGCCCCAGCTTGCTCAGTTATACAGTGCGTGTCGTCACAGCGTGGTTGTAAAGTTTGAAATGGAGACCTTTTCCTGTGAAGTGCTCAGAGCAGTGCTTGGACTACATAGGGGGACCATATAGATATTTGTTGAATGGATGAAAGAGAGAGAGGGTTACTTACAGAGACCTAGCCATGTCTACTGTATTTCATTGAGCTAAGATGCACATTTTTCATTAGAACATTTCTGAAAATGGCATGGGTTTTACAATCAATGGTGTCTAGGACTGGCTGGGTTTTTTTGCCCTCCTTACTGGTATCATTCTTACTGGTACTTAAAATAACATTACAGCTTACAAATAGCGATGCCTTAGATGTAATGATATATGGGAAAGAGATGATGTAGATGAAGCTGAGACGTGTGATTTCTGATACTGAAACATTAAAAAAATTTTTCTTTAAGTTTTATTTATTTAAGTAACCTTTACACCCAACGTGGGGCTCAAACTCATGACCCCGAGATCAAGAGTCGTGGGTTCTTCTGACTGAGCCAGCCAGGTGCCCTCCTCCCCGCATCCTGAAACATTTTTGGCCTCTAATAGCTGTAATTCTATAACCTGACAGGGTGATAGAGCATACCCAAATAGAGGGTATGGTTAGATAAGTGAGGAATTTTTGATTTTTTCGGTTTCAGGACCTCTTTTTTTTTTTTTTTAAGATTTTATTTATTTATTTGACAGAGAGAGATCACAAGTAGCAGAGAGGCAGGCAGAGAGATGGGGGGGAAGCAGGCTCCCTGGTGCTCGATCCCAGGACTCTGAGATCATGACCTGAGCTGAAGGCAGACGCTTAACCGACTGAGCCACCCAGGCACCCTTGGGTTAATAAAACTAACAGTTTTTTAGCATAAATACTATGTTTTTATTCATAACTATATTTCCAGGGGCCCCTGGCTGGTTCAGTCGGTAGAGCAGGCAACTCTTGACCTCAGGGTCGTGAGTTCAAGCCCCACGTTGGGCATGGAGCCTATTTAAAAAAAATAAAAAGTAAAATAGAATAACTATATTTCAAAACCTTTAGTGTGAGGAGTGGCACTGTTACACTTTTGGCAAATCTCTTCAGTGTCTGGTTCAATAGGAGACAGCGGGATTTTTGTGGCAGGTTCTACATTTGGTCTGTTGCCATGTCCCGTGTCCAGTGGCCTCTGGAGAAGTCCACTGTAACTCCTGAGACACAGTGAAAAAGGCTAGTAATTTCCTAGCATTACAGGCAAATAGTTCTGACCTCCTGGACACCCTGAAAGGGTCTCGGAGACTCCCCACGGTGCCCCGGACCCCCACTTAGAGAACCAGCTAAAGCATGAACTCCAGTATAGGGAGCTTCGGGGATGGAAGATGAAGTTGGGGTGGGGGTACATTAGAATGGGGAAGAGAGAGAAACTTCTAGAGACAGGCATCTGCGGACACTGGTAAGGATGGGGGAGGGGACTTGTAGAAGGGGCAAGACAGACAGACAGACTGACACACAGTGGCGGACACACTGGCGACACTTAGCTGATCAGCAGAGTGGCGACTCACTGACCTCCCCCCATCTCTTTTTCTCTCCTTGCAGGTCTACTCGCCAGTGACCCCAGTGCCCACCATGGCCCCCCTCAACTCCTACATGAGCCTGAATCCTCTGAGCGCTCCCTACCCCCCTGGGGGGCTCCCTGCCTCTCCGATGCCCTCAGGACCCCTGGCGCCCCCAGCGCCCGCAGCACCCCTGGGGCCCACCTTTCCGGGCCTGGGGGCCGGCAGCGGCAGCGGAGGCAGCGGCTCAGGGTACGGGGGTCCGGGCCCTGGGCTGGTGCATGGTAAGGAGATGCCGAAAGGCTACCGGCGGCCGCTGGCCCACGCCAAGCCACCGTATTCCTACATCTCGCTCATCACCATGGCCATCCAGCAGGCGCCGGGCAAGATGCTGACCCTGAGCGAGATCTACCAGTGGATCATGGACCTCTTCCCCTACTACCGGGAGAACCAGCAGCGCTGGCAGAACTCCATCCGCCACTCCCTGTCTTTCAACGACTGCTTCGTCAAGGTGGCGCGCTCCCCAGACAAGCCGGGCAAGGGCTCCTACTGGGCCCTGCACCCCAGCTCAGGGAACATGTTTGAGAACGGCTGCTACCTGCGTCGCCAGAAGCGCTTCAAGCTGGAGGAGAAGGTGAAGAAGGGTGCTGGCGGGACCTCCACCCCCAGGAACAGTGCAGGGCCGGCTGCCTCGGCCGCCGCCCCTGCTGCTACGGTCACCTCTCCCCCGCAGCCCCAGCCTCCACCCCCTGAGCCAGAGGCCCAGGCCGGGGAAGATGTGGGGGCTCTGGACTGTGGCTCACCCCCTTCCTCCTCACCCTACTTCAATGGCCTGGAGCTCCCCGGGGAGCTGAAGCTTGATGCCTCCTACAACTTCAATCACCCTTTCTCCATCAACAACCTGATGTCGGAACAGACGCCAGCACCTCCTAAGCTGGACATGGGGTTTGGGGGCTATGGGGTAGAAAGTGGGGAGCCTGGGGTCTACTACCAGGGTGTCTATTCCCGCTCTCTGCTTAACGCGTCCTAGCGGGGGTGTGGGAGCGTGGTGGGTGGGGTATGGCTATAGCTCACACCATCGGGCACTTGGGGCCTGATCCTCCTGGTCACACTTGGCTCGCCCCGTCAGTTACCATCTTGTTTGGTCTATTACTGTGGTGGCTGCGGTGTCTGAGGGCATCGGATCCATCCTTTGGGTACTGTGATAACTACCATTGACATCTTGGTGGGCCCACTGGGTTCTACCAGGACTGCCATGTTGATTGACGTTATTAGTCCATCCATTGGGTGCTCTGATGGCTGCTACCTGGGATGACATCTCAGTTGGCCCTTTGGACATGGTGATGGACATCCTCTTGGCTGACCCTTTGGATGGGATGGTGATACCATTCCAGTGACATCTTCTTTGGCCCGTTGGATGCTGTGATCACTTCTTTTTTGGTTGACTTCTTGGCATACTGGAGGGCCAGTTGGCCATCATTCTGCATAACATCTTTTTTTGGCCACGTTGGGTGCTATGATGGCCACCATCTTGGTTGGCTGACATAAACAGTGTACCGTTGTGCACCGTGACAGCTGCCATAGCCCCTGGGTTGGCCATTGTCATCACCGTCTCTTTGGTGTGAGTTGAGTGAGGGATGGAGGTGAGGCTACTCCTTGTTTTTTTCTAGAGCCCATTCCCCCCTCTGGTCCAGGGGAAACCAGAAAGGACTGGCTAGGGTATGGGGAATTTCTACTGAAGTCTGGTTCTTGCCTGGGAAGCGGGATACTGCCTGTGTTGGACCATTAAAGGCACTGTTTCTGCCTCTCACTGAATGTCTCTTTTCTTTGGAGGGCGGGCCCTATGGGGCTTGAACACCTGAATTGCCATGTCCCTGTCCCCTCTCCCGCCCGCCCCCAAGAGCTGGCTGCCTCTGGGGGAGGGATTGGGGGAGGCATCGACCTGACCTTTGGCTCTTTGCTGTCCCTGACCCCAAGGACAGTTTGCTCACAGATAGCAGCCCCCGCAGCTCTGGGGCCAGGGCAGGGGGAGGTGGCTCTGCAGTGACCGAGGCCATCTCCCTACCCCCACTCCCCAGACACACACCTCTAGCTCTGAGGCCCAAGGAGCCCAGGGGCTGCTCGATTTTTGGTTAAGCTGGGGAGGAGGGGAAGGCACAAACAAGGTGTTCATTGAAGGAGATGGTGTGCCTGTGTGTGTGTGTGTGTGTGTGTGTGTGTGTGTGTGTGTGTTGGGGGGGTGGGCCTCCATGGGTCATAGGATATCACTGTGCCCGCTGGGGTCTCTGTGGCCCTCCCATTGTTCCCTCTGGTTTGTATCCCACCATTCTGTGGTTTGTCCCACATTCTGGGTGCTTGCTACCTACCGGTGTCCTGGGATGTCTTACGGTTTCATGTGTGTGGTTCTCTTTGTCCTCCTACCCCTGGGTCCTGGTGGGTCTCCCACTGTTAGGCACAGGTCTTCATGTCCATCTGTCTGCATACCCACCACCTCAAGGGGTCTGTGTGGGGCTCGATCCGTGTTGCAAGCCTGCCTGTCACTGTGTGTTCTGTGTGCACCTCTGTGAGTCAGTATCTGCCTGTATGTTTCAAGTGTTTCAAAGGGTCTGTCCGCGCTTGGGTGTTACGCCTGTCACCTCTGCATGGAGGGTCGGCAGTCACTTCAGCAGGCAGGTGTGTGGGGAAAGAGCTCCGTCCTCCTTGGGTGGCTGTAGGCCCCTAGGGTTAGTGTCTGGGTGTCTCTGTTCTTCTGGGGCTCTCCCTAAGCTCTGAGTCTGGGGTCAGTAGCTCAGATGTTCTGAGCGCATGGCTCTGGGAGGGGCGGGGGAGACAATGACCAGAAGCCGAGGCTCAGGAGGGAAAGGGACTGGGCCAGGGTCACTCAGCCAGGTTAGGGCAGCTGGACGGGCTTGGTCTCATTTTGTCTTTTCCTTATTTGGGGTTTGCTTTTCTTGGTCTTGTATTCTCTAGCAGCTAATTAATTTGTTCATCAGACCAAGGGCTGCCTGTTTATGTGTGAGAGATGTCTCCCCCAGTTTCTGTGTGTCTTTCTGTCTCCTAAATGTCATCTCTCTGGGACACTCTGTCCTTAGTCCTCTCTCTGAGCTTTTGTCTCCTCCTGGCTTTTTTGAAAACCTTTGCTCATCCTCTGTAGCCTACCTCTTACACGGTCCGCCTTGGGCTTTCTCTCTCGTTCACTCCCTTGTGTTGACTCTATCCTTTCCTCCCGTCTCTGGGCTCTGAATGTCTCTGCCCCCTATCTGGGCTCTGAATGTCTCTGTCCCCTACTTGGGGACTGTGACTCCCTTCTGGGTTCTCCCTCCCCCCTCCCCCTAACTACGTTGGATCTCTGGCCTTGCTCCTCCTTCTCTGTTCTCCAGCTCCCAGAGTTTCTGCCTCTACCTGCCACTTCGAAGGCCAGGCCCTCTATTTCTGTCCCGGTGCCCGCCCTGCCGGCTGCGTGTCACCCCCCCCCCGCCCCCTGCCGTGCTGGCTCCCTGTCAGCCGTCAGCCGTCCCACCGGCCTCGCCGTCCTGGGCAGGCCGGGGAATTCCTCCTGGTTCCTGGAAAAAACAACTGGGGCCGAGAGAAAGGCCCTCAGTCTCCCCGGGCGCCTGCCCCCCTCCCTCGGGCCTGGGGGTCTCTCCCTGAGTCGGCCGGCCTGAGGCAGGAAGCCCTGCGGTTTCTGGCTTCTCCCAGGCGGCCTCCGGATCTGGCCCCCGCCCCCCCGGCCAACAGCCCAAATATTATTCCGCAGGAGGAGCCGGTGGTGGCGGGAGGAGGCCCAGGCTGAAAGAGGCTTTCAGGGCGGCCAGGCCTGGGGCTTCCTGTCCCCAGGCTTGGGCCTCAGGCCGCCCCAGTAGGGACCTCAGGTGGCCGGAGGGGCGGGTGTTGTTGTAGGGTCCTGGAGGGAGGGTGGGGCCATCCGTCAGGGTGTCTGGTGGCCACCGGCTCGGCTGGCGTGGGCAGGTGTGACCCCCCACCCCAGGGACAGCCGGCTGATGTCCAGTGTGGAAAAGTACCACGGTCAGACGTGGGGCGCGTGGACAGACATGAGGGTGCCAGGGATCGTGAATGGAGGGATAGCCATGGGGACACAGAGAAGCCGGCCTTAGGTTGGGTGAAGCTGGACAGAGCCTGGAGGGCCTGAGGAGACATGGTCCAAGGGAGGGGCCCACGGGTGGGGAAACAGAGGGCCAAGGAAGCGTCCTAGCTGTGGACAGAGGTCCCATGACATCAGAAGGCATGTGATAACAATGCTGGAAAGAGAAATGCTAATAGTGGCTTTTAGGGCTTATCCTCTGTCTGGCATTGTGTGAGCACTTGATAGAAAGGATTGACCCAATCCTTCCCGCCCCCCCCCATTTTATTATTGGTGAAACTGAGGCAGGATGAGGTAAAGCTACTTGTCAAATCACAGGGATAGTGTTGGAGCGGGGGCGAGGCGGGGGGAACCGAGGACTTGAACCCCGGGCAGTCCGGCCCAGAGTCAGTGCCCTTAACCACCATGGTGTTTGGGGAAAATGAGAGTTGTGACCGCACCGTGGGGCCCTAGGGTCCTAAGCCCTCTCTCAGAGTCAGCCCCATTCCCCGCCATGACCTGTTCCAGGAGGAGAGAAGCATCCCCGGGAGAAGCCAGCAGTCCTGGGCAGGTGAGGGTTACAAGTGTGTCTGAGTGTGTGTCCATGTCACTGGTTGTCACACATCTAGCTTGGTGTCAGTGTGTTGGGATCCCAGGGCCACAGTCTTCTGTGTTACCCGTGATGTGTCTCTGGTCCATGTATCGGTGTGTGTTGCATCTGCCTGTCTGTCACTGTTTGTGTTTTGTCCTTGGATCTCTGTGCCTTGCCTCCTGTTGGCCTGTCCTCGTAGCCTGATGTCTGTCCTTGGTGTGTGTCTGTCACTGGGTCTTTTCCGGTGACTCTGTCCCCGGGTTCGGTGGGTCTGTTTATGTCTCTGTCACTCTGGGTCTGCCTATATCTGTCCCTGTTTGTCACCATGTCTGTTCCCCTATGTGTCACCATCTACCCAGTGTCACCGTGTGTGTTACTCACCGCCCAGGCCACAGGTGGGCGTGTCGGGCCCATTGGTGCCAGGGCGGGGGCCCAGCCCTGCCTACCCTCGCCTGCCATGGGCCAGGCTGGGCGCCTGTTTGCAATGCCTGCCACAGGTAAACACCGAGATCCGGAACCCAAGGGCCACCTCCCTCCCCTCTGCTCCCTGCCCCTCAGCCTGCCCTGGACTGGGCTGTGCCCCAAAGCCCCCACAGGTGCTGCCCCCACGCTGGAGGCGTGCCCTGACCCACCCCTCCGCCACGGTCACAAGCATCCCAGAGCCCCCAGCCCTGGCCCGGCCCTGTTTGTCCATCTGCTTCTCTTTCTCTCTCTCTTTTTGGGTGTCTCCTGGCCTCTCTCTGTTCCTTTCCGTCTTTACCTCCTCTCTCCTGAGTTACTCTGCAGCTTTGCCTTTCTCTGGAATGACCCTCGGCTCCATTCTGTCACTGTCCCTCTACCTCCCCCTTTCTCTGTTCTCGCTCAGTCTGACTCTGGGTCTCTGTCTGCCCGTCTTTCTGGAGCTCTTTTGTGCTTTGTAAGTTCCTCTCTCTTCCCTTCAGTCCCTGTGTCCCTCTCAACCTGCGTCTGTCAGGCTTGGCCACTCTCTCCGTGTGTCTCGGAGCACCCCCAGCCCCCTGCAGGATCAGACTTCTGCCATCCCCGGGCCCTTAGGGAAGTGTGTGGCCCCCACCTCCCGCTCCCCAGCCCGCTGGTATATATATAAATGTAGATGTACATATTATTTATATCTGTACCCGGGGGCAGGAGGGGCAGACACTGGGGCCTTTGTATAGCCGCTGCCCGCTGCCTGCCTGCCCACCACTCCTCTCCCTTCGTCCCTGCCACCCGCCCGCCTCCACTCCCCCCTGCCCCACAGAAAGGTTCCTGTGGGGCCTGCCAGCTTCCTTTGCCTGAGGTGTGAGTGGGCACGCCACGGGCGAGGCGGGCAGGGGGGCCTGGGGACTTTTCCAGCTCTGGGGAAGCTTTCTGGGTGGGGAAGAAACGGGACTTCTCAGCCAGCTGCTGTCTGCTGTCTGCGTCTGTTGTCCCTGGGCGTCCCCGGGTCCTCACCTGGCTTCTGCCTGGGAGTCTGTCCACCCATCTAATGTCATTCTGACTTCTTCTCTGTTGGCCTGGGGCTTATTCACTTGTCCCCACACTGCATACTGTTGTTGGGCATATGTGCGAGGCTGTCCGCAAAGCCCCAGACACAGAACAATGAGATGCTGTCCATCCTGGCTGATTCTGGGCCACTTCTGTCTCATTTCCTCCGTCTCTTTACCCAGTGCTTGAAACCCTCCACCCGTCCTCATGAAAATAGAATCTGAAGCCTTATCATGGCCTACGGGGCCCCCAAGTTTCCCCCACCATCACTCTGACCTCATTCTTTTTTTTTTTAATCTTCTTTTTAAGTCATCTCTACACCCAACGTGGGACTTGAACTTACCACCCTGATATCAAGAGTCGCACACTCTGCCGACCGAGCCAGCCAGTCTGACCTCATTCTCACACCCCTCCTCTTTGCTACACTGGCACTGGCCACCTGGCTGCTTCTGGAACAAACTAAGCAGGCTCCCGCCTCAGGTCCTTTGCATGTGCCATTGCCCCGGATTTCTTCTGGCTTGCTCCCTCATTTCTTTTAGTTTTCTGTCTGCTCCTCAGCAAACCCTTCTCTACCTCCTTCTTTACAGCAGCAACCTCCGTCACTCTCTAGCCACTTCCCCTGGTTTACTCTTTCTTCTTAGGACTTACCGTTC